TAAATTGCAGGCCAAGTTTTTTACCTCACAGTGGATGTTCAATGTTATCTTAATTCAGTGAATTATGTATTAGCAAAATAAACATGTCCTTAAAATTTAACGGAGCATTTTAGTCAGGGGAATCTGTTGTTATTTATGCACTGATTGGAAATGTAAATATCAAAAATGTCAATGGACAAAAAGGCATCCTCTGCATCGCTTCGGCCCGTTAATTTATTGCTGATATTTTGAGCTACAGAACAACAGCTCCCACGCACATTTTGCTAAGGTGGGTAATACAGCTATGTAGAACTCTGAATTGAAGACTTTCTAAAAAAAAAAAAAAAACTTTTGTCACTACAAAACGTCTATATAGATTAACAGCTCCTACGTCTTTCTAAAAATTACATTCACATACATTCCCAGAACTCATGATCTTGTTCATACTACTGTCCACAGGGTGTCCCATTGGTTATTTGACTGTGGTGTTATACGGCAGTGGTGCCAGTGGGACTGGGACCTAAAAATKACCTTTACAAAGGCATGTGCAAGGTCCTGCACCTGGGSAGGAATAACCCCAGGCACCAGTACAGATTAGGGCTCTACCTGCTGGAAAGCAGCTCCTCGGAGAGGGACCTGGGAGTCCTGGTTGACACCAAGTTAACCATGAGTCAGCAGTGTGCCCTCGTGGCCAAGAAGGCCAATGGGATCCTGGCCTGCATCAGGAGGAGTGTTGCCAGCAGGTCAAGGGAGGGGATCCTGCCCCTCTCCTCAGCTCTGGTGAGGCCGCACCTGGAGTACTGTGTGCAGTKCTGGGCACCCCWSTATAGGAGGGACGTGGAGCTTCTCGAGAGGGTCCAGCAGAGAGCAGTGAATACGAACAGGGGCCTGGAGCATCTGTCCTATRAGAGAGCTGGGCCTGTTCAGCCTCAAGAAGAGAAAGCTGAGAGGAGCTCTTATTAACGTGCATAAATACCTCAAGAGAGGGCAGCAAGAGGAGGGGGCCAGACTCTCTTCAGTGGCAATCAGCGAGTGGCAGTCAGRACAAGAGACAATGCTCCAACTTGAACCATCCTGTGGTTATGCAGGTTATGCATCCTGTGAATGGCCAGACTAAACCAACGTAGATGCTGCAAATTAATGAAAGCCTCCTGAGAATGCTTTCAGGAACTCATCTGCTTAAAAGTGGTATCACATACACTTTACACAGTATGTCTCTAACGTGACAAGCAGAGAGTTCCCTATTTGGGTCCCTATCTTTTGATCGCTAAACACTATACATTCTGCAGTGTCAGAAAAACGCCTGCAACGTTTCATTCTACCTATTTGCCTTTGTAGTCTTTTTATCTTGTTCCAACCATCCTATTTGCATGCAAAGTCACATTACTGAAAGCAGCTAAKACACCCTGCATAATCCAGTGATTTGCTAAGCTAACATTCCTAGCATGAATGTCACCAGAGTGTGTCCCAAGATCCTTTAAATTACAAGTAKGTGGCAGCCCGGGCTCCAGAGCTTGATTCTAGACGTGAGTGAGAAGCTCTGTCTCTGTGCCCATGCAGTCCAGGATACGGAGCTCACACTGGAGACAATTCACTTATTCAACCACTGAAATCATCATGTTCAAACATGAGATAAAGAATTCTGCTTTCCCTAGTGCTAGAGAGTGTAGATGGCAGAATAAGACTGTTTGTCCTCTCCGTCTGTTATTAGGAGACAGTCCCAATCTGACCATTTTATGTCCCACAGAGAAGTGTTGTTTCCCCCTCTCAACAGCTGCTGACTCCTGCACTGGGGAGGGCTCAGCCATGATCCTCCTTCCCCTGGCACATGCTGGGAGCTTGGCTGCTCGAAGTTTAGGAGCTGGTTTTCAGCATTTCTGCCATTAATAGTTAGGCTTGCTCATAMTAATTGTCTGATCAGAGCGTAACAGATGCAAGCATTGACACTCACATAATCCTTCCCCTCCTTTCCTATGGATTAGAGACTGTAGATACATAATGCTGGTAACTGTGGATGCAGTCCGGGAACCTTTTGCTGTCTTGGTCTCTGTAAATGTGCACATCCATATCGGCTATTCAAAGCATTTTTCGCTGGAATAGAGCATTTCATGGGATACTTCAACTGGGAGTTTATGCTCTTGAAAGGGACACAACTATTTGCCTGACTTGACATATGCCACTTTCTTCTCCCCTTCTACCTGCATTTGCGTTTTACTGACTTTCCCAACTCAGAAAACATCCTTAAAGGACAGGATCCATAGGCTAAATTCTGCCACTTCACTCCAGCATTTGCTTTCTTCTGAGCACCAGCAATTCAGAAGGATTATTTTACTGCTAAATTATAAGAGTTTATTTTTAAACAATCCAAATAAGATAAGTCCAAATAAGATCCTCATGAATGTATTTACAGACATTAAGCTTACCCTACCTCTACAACTTGAAGCTTGAGAAAAGGCTGAGCCAAATGTCATTTCATGATACAAAAGGAGCAGGTAGCAGGAAAGACAGATGTCCCAGCCTTCTGCCTACTTCCAGTGCAGGATCTTCCAGCTCCAGAAGCTCCAAAGGCTGTGAACTTCCCACTGGCCCTCTGCCAGGAGTGCAAACTGCAGTGTCACAACATGCACTGCCTACTCCTTTTCTTCTTTTTCTTTGTTTTCTTTTTTAATGTGACCCAGCAGCCTGCTTCCTTCTCATGACAAGTTTTAGCTTCTGCTGTCCCACATGGCATGTCCCTAATTATACAACTAAAAAAAGCTTTGATGCGGAACACATCTTGTTCTTTGGGTGTCGCCAAAAATAAACAAGCCCATACTGAATGCAATAGAGCTATACGTTAAAAAGGGTTTTGCCGTAATGAAACGCATTCATGGAAACAAAAAGAACAGTCTGGATCATCCCGCCTTCTTTAGTGTAAGCAACAATCTCCCAGAAGTTTTACATTAGATTAAAAAGGAAACAGCTGTTGTCAGAAGGCAGCATGATGCCAACAGTGGAAAAGGAGGGATTACAGAATCCAAGTCATCCTACTCCTACTGCATAAGTGTTAACAGAGGCTTTCCTTCAGCACAGACGACTGAAGGTGGCAAAACCCCGACACTGCCCTSAACTTCTGATTTAGGTAAGAAAACTATCCACTGTTAGCTAGCAGTTTAACAGATGATGCAGTGTTTCCTTTAGCAAAGGTGTCATGAAGGAACTATAAATCTGCCTTTTTTTTTTGTAAACCCTTAAATGGATAGCAACACTAAACCAAAAACATTAAAAAGGATCTCTCTCCATTGGCTCTAAAGACATCTTGAAAGAGAACAGAGCAATCCTTAGTGCACTTTAATGTACAGCACACAGGTCAACGTAATTTCCTCTTTCCCAAACTAAAAATGAACCCACACTCCGCGCAGTGAAAAAATCCTAAGTAAGGCCAAGAGTGCAAGGGAAATCCAGCACATCTGAGGGGCTTCTCTGGCGACAAACTCTTCTTGCTGAGGAGTAAAAGGCAGCTCTGCACTCGTGTGAAGAGAAAGACACTTCAGACTGACATTTACTCAAGCATGCTGTTCTTGAAGGTACTGCTTTATTCTGTTTGTATGGTAACATGTACGCACATGTGCATGCACTCATCATTCATACTTTAAATTACTCATCTTCAAAGAATGTACTTCATATCATTATTATTATATTTAACAATGCGAAGTTTTTAATATATTTTTTATTAACTGCATTGTCATAAGTTATTTACTATTATGACAACATTCATCCTTTCTCTTCATTCAAATACAGTCTAGATTTTCTTTCAACAAGACTACATCGGGTGCCTCATTTAGCAGAAAGCAGACTGCCATGTAACAAAACCTAAGCACTCATTTCCTACTGCAGGCGATTCCAAGGATTATAACATAGCCCAATCCTTCYATTTTATTAGAAATTGATCCTTTAACTGACTTAGCTACCCACGGCAGGCTTTTTTGCAAATTAAGTTTACTTCTTAAGTTTGGCTAGAGGCAGATGGTACTCTTTAAAGATTACTGGCGACATAAACCATTCTGCCTCATACATATAATTACTAACCAGTATTCACTCTCTAATTCCTAAAGAGCCCGTGCTTTTCCCCTGCTGGGCTATCTTTTTTTTTCACTATGTCAAGGTCTAACTGCATTTACTGTCATAATAGCAAAATGTTAGCAAAAATGTTCATCTGTAGCTAGTGCTGGCCACCAAAAGTTGGACCATATGCTTCTCTACTGCAAGGAGCAGAAGACCAAAATTGCTTAGAGAGGATTAAAATTCCCTGCGGGAAAAATACACAGGAGCCTGCAACACAGTGAGCCAAACCCAGGAATTTGAGGGGGAGAAGGTCCCACAACATCGTCATTTAGCAGATTCCATTTAATTTCTGGAGATGGGCTGAAACTGGTTCTAAAACACCCTTCCCTGCTTGTTGTCTGGYTGTGGGGACCACTCACACTCCCACGCGACGAGAGCCTGAGGGGAGGTTGGCCCACAGCGGGGTCCGAGAGCCTGAGGGGAGGCTGGCCCACAGCCGGGTCGGTGGCCATTCCACYGGTGAGACACTCCAAGCGAGTCACTTCCTTGCAGAGGAAACTCTACAGATTGTGAAGCACAAAATAACCCACCTTACTGCCGTTTAAGTAAATTAATCTCTTATTTTCAACAATCRGGAACACTAAAGACTGTTGGGCTTCTATTATTCCCTAATTGCTCTTAAGTGCGGTATCGTGCAACAGAACTTCAGGTAAACATTGATCCAACAGCTTCAAGGCAAAGAGAAATAAAAAAAAGTAATAGTACTTCATGGACAATAGTACTTTAATGGTGTTAATTTGTTTTAGAATTCGTATTTAAAAGCAGTCTACCTTTTTTTTTTCACTGAACACTATTTGCATATACAGGCTATATATATTGACTTTTACATCCAAACTTAAACATCACAGCAGTATTACTGAAGTATATATACAGTTATGAGGGCTGAGTGTCACACTTTTTATCCTTACTTGAACAAGAGTAATCTTACAGATCCCAGAATCCTCATCTGAAGCAATTCACTTCCAAGCGATGAATATCCCAACCATTTAGCTGCCTTAATGTGACATTTTTGCAAAGCATGAACTGAACCACTGGTTCATTTTTCTGAATATCAAGACTTCCTTCTATTACAAACTGTAACTTGATCTAATGAACCTACTTAGCTCAGCTTTCCATAGCCTTTTTTTTTACTCTTATTATCATTTTTAGGTCCATCATAATAAATTATAAAACTCCTTAATACAATGTATTTCCAAATAATTAGAACATCAGTAAGCTCCTATAAATGCATCAGTAAACAGCTTTCTCATAACTAAACACTTAAAAACACTTCTAATAATTTTATCAGGCAAAATAATTGTCAAGAAGAGAGTTGTGATTCTGCAGTTCCTGTATCAGCTGTTCCTCTTAATGAAGGTCTTTTTTTTGCCACTTAGTTTAATAGTAAATGCAGACTGTTTGTTTGTTTTTAAGCTACATGTTTGACTCTCCTATTCAGAGCCGACAGAGCCAAATGTTTATTTGAGGCATCCAGAATTCCTGTGCCAAAAAAAAAAAAAAAAAAGCTTTGAGTAATTTGGGCTCATTCACACAAGCTGAGATTTTCCACACATGCTTCTGCTACATTTATTTTGTGTTGTATTTTTAGCAATTAATATTTACTTAAAGCTGAGTATCACTACCACTTCCTTGCATCCAAGGAAAACGCATGTGACTCTTCAAAGATAAGGGAAAAATATTTTTAATTTTCCAGGCTCACATAAAACAAGGCTTTTATTAAAATATCTGAGGTTTGGGGGCTTCTGCCTTTACAAGTTAAACATTTAATGCAGTGCCACTCACCAGGCTATTAACACAGTTATGGGATTCAGCATTTCAATGTCTCTTTAACGGCGTTTCTTTGCATACCTGCAATGCTGATTAGTTGCATGCAATGGTGAGAATATGACTCCAGCTTTTTTAACAGTTACTCCTGGATTCTGACCATCAGATTCATCACAAATAAGCTAGAAATAAGCTGCACAAATATTTTGGGGGGGGAGAAAAATTTAAGTATCAGGCTGCCTTACAGAATGAGCTGGAGTATTGATTTGTGCCTGTGGAGAGGTGAGGGATAAACCTCTAATTCCTGCTAGAGGAAATTTTAATCACACAGAAAAAGAAGGAAGGAAAAGATATGTGTAAGCCATGGTAAGTAGGACTGAGTCTCATTATTTTGTGTGAATTCCTTGGCCTTTTGGTTCTGCTTCAGAAACTACAGTGAGGCCACCTGTGATGGCCCTGATGTCACCACAGGGCGCTGATCAGAGCGCGAGGAGATTCCCCACGGGAGCAGCTACTAACATTTCAACTTGCAGAGCAATGTTAAATAAAACAGAATACAACAGCAACCATGCCCAGTTTTCTTACACAGTCGCCGAGTTCTCGCAGTGCCACCGCTAGACTTGGCCATCGGTGATCCATAAAACGACTCGGTCTCGGATTAGCCCATCTGATAATTGTGCAAATTCCCGCAGCTCAGAAACACAGCGGCTCAGTGCTGCTCTGGCCTGCTGCCTTCCGGCAGAGAAAATGCATTCGCCTAAATTATTTTCTTGGGTGGATTTTCTAACAATTTCCTCTGTACTTCCAGCTCCTGCTGTAAATCTCTGATCTTTCAGAGCTTCCTTCGTGCAGCACYGCTTCTCATTTTGATCTTTGTGCTGCAGAGAGAAAATTTATTAGAGTGACAYAACCATTCCCTCCAAACTGATGGATGCCAGGGACTGCGTCAGCTTCTTGTTTTTTGGCCAGACATTATGAAGGTGGCTTTGAAAAGTACAAAGGAAGAGTCATTTCCAAAAATTTATACTTAACTACAGAACAGGAGTCACCCAATGATTTTATTGACCACTGCTGTGGCAAATAATAAAAGGGAATATTAAGCATTTCAGTTACTTAYTGCAGTTGGTTTTGCTGACAAGGCTGTTGCTGAGGGGCTACACGTGTGAAGACAGGAGGAAATCAGGACATGAGGAGGAAGAGCAGGGGAATGAYGGTGTATGCAGGTGTAGCACAATGTCATTATTCACAGGGCAATGACAAGAAGGATTAAGGAGATAACTGCAGCTACTGCTTTTCCAGCACTGCAAAACAACACTGCTCAACAACACAAAACCCCTAAAGTATCTGGTGAGGTAAACGTTATTGACTTCAGCACAGGTAGAATACTGCAGAGCTAGCTTATGGGATCACTGGCCTCCCTTAGCTGTGCTCCCTCCCCTGGGCTCAGGTTCACTTGCTTACACTGAGTAGAAGAAAAAATAAAGGAGGAGAAAGGGGATGGTGAGGAGTAAGCCTGAGGAGCTTCCATTTCATGTGCTCTGGGCTCTGAATCCTCAAACGTGTGCAGCTACCAGGAGTCATCGCATGGAGCAGAACGGCGAGAAAGGAAACATTCACCAAGACATGAGCGAGGCTCTTTCGGAAGACTGATAGTGGCCTTTTTTGGCTAAAAAGACAGATAAGCTTAAGTGAATGAAGACTGCTGGATGCACTCTTATTCCAGCTTGAGGTTTTGAGATACATACTACTCTTAAAATATTTTAAAAGATTAAGAGAAAGAAGTGAAACTGTAACACAATAAGGATGGAATGGAGATGACAATTTTGGTGTTGCACCTCTTCAAAAAAGGTGAACATTTGGATTCAATTATCCTAGGAGGAATGACAGCAAAAGCCGGACGACTACTGAAAGTTTGTGTATAACACTAAATATCATCACATCCAAGGTGGAAGCAGAATATTAGAATTTTAATAAGATGAAGTTGGGTGCAATAGATGATCTCCTGGCCCAAACACTGATTTCCCAGGTGAGTTGTTTCAATAACTCAGAAGTAAGTAAATACCTGTCAGCCCAAGTGACGCCGTATTACCAGAGATGATCAACATAACAGATATAACTGGAAGGAACAAAAACATGGTATGGGAAATTTTACACTTCTTACGCTGAGCCCAATAATGTGAAAATTCTGCAAGAATGCTGAAGGAAAAGATATTTAGAAACAAGGGGGGAAGTGAATCATCTTAGTGGGAGCAACCAAGCAGCAAGGATAAAACTGCTGTTCAGTCACCTCATAAACACAGATACTAAATACAGACAGATCCAACCAGGCTATCGGATAACGCTGACACAGAAGAAACGCAAAGAAACTGGCTAGTCATAAGTAAGAGTTTAAAATTAGAGCAAGGTTCTACAGAGGACTCGTATAGGCAAAGACCTAATTTTTTAAAAAAAAAATCATGTTTAACAAAAGGATTGGAGATTGTAGCTTTTTCATAAGCCGCAAGATGGGATTCTAAGAACTAAATAGCCATTTCCAACCCCCACAATATGTTCCTACATGGGGGTGGAAAAAGCAATATAAATTACACTAAATAAGATAATCTTATGCTATGTTAAAGAAACACTTAAGATTGTAAAATAAAATGAAGAMGTTCAAAAGTCAACATTCCTTAATGTGTATGTTTCCCAAAATCTTAACTGCGTTCAAGTTCATAAATGAAATAAAATTATGTATTAGTGTCATACCTTTGATTTTCTTTCCKAAAAAATCAAAGACCAGGAACTGGTCAGGAAGATTATTTGCATGTCATAATGAGCCATCAAATAGTATGTAGACTGTATAAATGGCCTCTCTTGAAGCCTCTCACACCACTCCGTGTGCTTTGCTTGCACACCTGGCTTGGCCACAGTGGCCCAGACTTCCCAGGACAGCAGAGGCAAGGACACCCAGTCGGTCTCAGCAGTTATGATGGTTCCCAAGGTTCCCAGTGGTTCAGTTATGATGGTTCCCAGTTATGAAGGTTCTCTAGGGGAGGCACCAAACTTCTGCAGAAGCTGCTTCCTAGGGGGCTGGACCCTGTAGAACCAGATCATGTCAATCATCTGAAAAGCAGATCCTGAAGTCCAKGCTCATGTAATGAGCTAGTGAGAGCTCTAGGTGTCTGCAAAGATGCTGAATTCAGAGTTGAAGGAACATGTGATCAACAATTTTAACAGAAGTATTTTACTTGCTGACCTATTTTTTAAAGACATAAAAATTGCGAATATAAAATTATAAATCTTATAACTGCACAAAAAACCAAAAAAGGCATATCCTATTATTGCTGCTTCAACTAGCAGTCTTCTCATTTCACATGAGGCAAGTTATAAAAAACTATTAACTCGCAACATATACTGAACTTTCAAAAAAGCACTTCAAGTCTGGGTTCGCTCTTTTCCACCCCTGTAGTTTAATGATTTTTAAATCTCCTAAAACAGAAACTGTGCCTAACATAGCCAGGCTCTAATTCAAGCTTTTGCAGCACGATTCACAACTTCGTAGCATCCAATAGTATTGGACAGTAGCATCCAAATGGTGACTCCTCTCACAAGCATCTTGTGTTCGTGTGTCCATGTCTTTGTCCTCAGTTTGTGTCCCTGGCTGAAGTGCTTCAGAGCTGTTCMATCTGCTGCTGTCTCCTTTGTCTGTTGTTATCAAGCACGATTATCCATCAGTTTTAATTTTTTTGCAAACTATTCCGCTTTCAAAGGGTGCGCAACCATTATTTACAAACAGATAATTACATAAAGTATACAAAAACATCTCACCTTGCTGAGATTTTTTTTTTGCCATCATTTTCTTAGCGTGTCAGTTCCCACCCAGGGAGCACACCTTTGTCTTCCTGAAACTAATCACAACTTTGCAACTGTGCTGCACGGGAACCAACCTCTGACTGAAACAGATACAGAATCATCCCCTGTAAAGGATAATTAGCCAAGACAAGGGTCAGAGACCAAGCACTATTATTTGATGTCTTCTAGCAAGGATGAGTAGTGTTTTTCAATATATTTGCCTCTAGTATTCAAGCAAGGACACTATTTTAGAAATGCTGTATAGGAAAGAATCTGATGACAGTAAGGGTTTGGGCTGCACAGCATACATTTTACTGTCAGTATAACCTTTCRATAAACTGTACTGTTAAAAATAGTTCTCCAGGTTCAAATATCTTTTTTGAATGACATATTAGCACAAAATTTATTCATTTGACTATGGCAGAACCTTAAAATGATTTATAGTATTTCAAGAGTGCCTCACACAGTTTCATATTTACAAAGTCTCTTTTGTGTTTTACTGTCTTCTGGGTTCACTGTTACATTGCAGGTCTCTTGCTAGCGGAGGCATCGAATAAATGTGCTGGAATGTCTAAGTGCAGCTGCTCGTGTCGGACTCATGATCAATCTGCCACGTTTTGGTGATGTGAGGGGCAGGGGTATCATGCAGCATTTTAAGGGCATTTTAAGGGGGCTGCATTTTAAGGGCAGACTTGCTAAACACGACCGGGCAGCCGTCCCTGATCCATGCTCGGTTAGAGCGCGATTGGTCTCGCTGCTGTGCTTTGCTTGCTTCTTCTTTCAGATACTGCCACTCTTCCCCACTCCAGCAACGCTCCGTGCAGCACCTCTCCTTTTCTCTAGCTCTGATAAATAGAAACTATTCACTCTGCTCTGTAATAATTTGGTTTCTCAGCCCGCTGCCTTTACGCGGCCCCTTTGCAGCCACATCCCTGATCGTTTTGCCTCTTGCATCAAAGCGAAGGTTGCCTACAATATTTACAATCTCTTCCAACTTTATTGACCCTTTCCACTCAATGCTACAGTAACTTAATTTTACCCTCACTCAGGCCACTGTGTCTGCCCCCAACACACCTCTGTTAAATTTTCAGATATACACACCCCCTTTTCCCCTCCATGCACATCCAGCCTGCAAGTTCCATAAACCCCTTAGCCTCTTTACATCCTTTCTTATGATACCTACAAAACATTGGCAATCATCAGACTGCCGAGTCCAGGATATACTTTTATCATTTTAGAGTAGTTCCCTATCTAGCTGCACTTGYTTGCTGTTTCCAGATTCACAGGAGGCAGGGCTTTCTTTTTCCTTTTTTCTTTCTTTTTTTCCCCCRCTCAGTCCTTACATAGCAAGCAGAAACATTAAGCTCGACTTCAGAATAAATAAATAGCAATATGCTGCTAAGCAAATAACTACTATTTATAATAAGAAGAGAGAGGTAGTGATAAGGAACTGGCCGAGACTTCTTCTGAACTTCTCCCTGATTTGTCCCGGGAAAAAGTGAGCACACGAAAGTGAATAAATTTATTAATTTAGAGCAGTGGTTTCAGTTAGACCCAGGACAGACACATTGACCTCGCATGTATTTGCTTGCGATCAGACAATGGAAAGAGCCATATGAAAGCACATTTCCTGTTCAGGTATATGAGTGCATACATAAAGTGCTGAAATGGATGTATTCATATGCAAGACTAGAATTTACTCAATAAAAAAAAAAATCTGTCTTGCAGTCTGTTTTACAAGGTGAAAACTTTTACCCTGTGTTTTGGTAAGCAACAGCTCTGGAGGTGTCTGAATAGGTCACCAGGTGCTCGCAGAGTAGGTTAAACAGTTTCAACAGTTAAACATCCCACTGATATGGCTAGGTTCAAAAGTTGGGATACTACCTGTCTCTACAAGCTATGCCCAATTATTTTAAGAATCATTACATGTAGAGAGCAGATATCCTAGAAACCACATCCAGAGCTATAAATATATAAAATATATATTAAAATTGACTGTCCTTTTTTGCAATCACTCCTACGGCAAACGCAGAAAACAATATTTAAGTAATTAAATCAATGCCCAAGCATAATGAGCCTTAAGTGAAAACGTCCCACAGAACACATCACTGCTGCTACAAACTGAATGTCTGGCTCGAAAGACGCCCCCTCTAATAAGCACGCACTTTGTTGGTAATTTCTATAATAATTCTTTACAATTTTGAGCGTCTGATGCACAAGGGGCCGCACAAGGCGTTCGCGTGCGCCGCCAAACGCCGGGGCCGCCGCCGCGCACCCTGCTCCGCGCCCCCCACGCGCGAGAGCCGCGCGCGCTCCCGCGCCCAAACCCAGCGGGACGGGGCGGCAGGAGAGCAGGAACGGGCACSGGAGCGGGAACGGGCAGGAGAGCGGGAACGGGCACGGGAGCGGGAACGGGCACGGGAGCCGCCGGACGTCCCCGCCTCCGCCCGCGGGGCCGGCCACTCAAGCAACCACCGCCCGTTTTATTTATTTTATTTTCTCATTTTATTTTCCCTTTTTTCTTTCTTTTTTTTTTTTTCTTTTTTTTCCCTTCTTCCTCCCACTCGCTTTCCCGTGCTGGCGCGGCAGCCCTTACCTCAGGTGCAGGTACTGCACCAGCTTCGTCACCACGGTCACCATCGCGCCGCCGGGAGCCGCAGCCGCCCCTGCCGCCGGGGCCGCCACCTCCCGCCGCCGCCATCACGTGTCGGGGCGGAGCGGGCAGCCCCGGCGTGGGGACAGCCCCGGCCCGTGGGGAGGTGGCCGCCGCTCCCAGCTGGCGCGGGGGTGTCGCCGTGGGCGCGGGGTGGCGAGTGCAGCGATGGCCGCGGCGCCCGCAGGGGGACCCTGGCCAGGGGGCCTTGGGCCCCYCATGGAGCAAGAGCCAAAGGGCTCGAGCAGGAGCTGCAGAAATCCAGGCAGAATCCAAGCAGGYGGCAGTAAATGTATTTTCTTCTGTAGCAATGAGGGTCGTGAAACACGAAAAAAGACTCTCATAAAGCATCTCTTCAAATTGATACAGTGGGAGTGGGTTCCTCCCTATTTTAAAGCATATGTAACTAACCTCTATATGTGCTTGACTGGGGTTATGGGGAAAATTCTGTGGTCTTCGTTACACAGAAGGTCACACAAGGCGATCACAAGGCAGGTGATGGAAATGGTGACTCCAGGTTTGCAAATCCGTCAACTTTCTGCTGCCCTCCAAGTTGAGCTAATTCCTTCGGCCTTATTCTCCCCTTCTTGCACGTATCCCAGGCTCTGAACCAGACAAGCACCTTCAAATCGTAGTTTGTGCAAGGGYAGGTAAAACATGACCATAATACACATCATAAATAGTCAGAGGGAAGGTTGCAAACAGCTACATATACCATATTTTCCATCTCAACTGCTTGACTTGAGTAAAGACTTGTGCTAACCAAGTGTTTCACTGTGTTGGTACCATTCAAGTTAGAGAACATCTAGAAACAAAAGAACATAAAATGTTCCTAGATCACCTGGAAGTAGTTTGGGACCATGGATAGTTTACAAATTWCTAGTCCCACAAAGACAAAAATCAACTATTTGACATAAATTACAAGGCTGTACCTGCAAGTTGTTCACTCATGGTGCTCTTTTGAAGAAGAGTGGGTGCTCTAAAGTGCATTGCAATTTTTCTTGGAAGAACTGGTTAGAAGTGTGAATAAGCAATAAAAAATTTAACTCACCTCGTGGCTTGCTGTGGTCTGTGATCTCTTCCGACTGAGCCTTTTTGACAGACTTGGGAGAAAGAAACTGTTTAGTCCTTGTTCATAAATCAGAATACAAAKATTCTCTAAACATGTTAATGTAGATACACTTGCAATAGGTCTTTAATGGTTAATATTGTTGCTTGTAACATTCTCTATGCTTTATAACCAAGATCCTCAAGTTTATTTTCATTAATGTCATGTTTTACTCTCTATGATTCGTTTTCTATTCTCTATATTTTCTCACTCTATATGAAAATATGTACCCTTCATTATACTAAAATTCTTACTGTGTTAAAGTTCTTACACCCTAATCTGCCCTAAACAATTCTTGGCCATCTTTGGAGCAAGATGGATAGTTTTCCTTATAGCTGATCTAACATAACAGGTCTAACAAATTCTTTTTTTTTTTTTTTTTTTCCTATTCAGTGATCCTCCTTTTCACCTTCATATTTGTGCTAAAAAATGCTCTTTCTTACTAGTTCATCTTTATTTACTAATGTGGGCTGCTATTCATTCACATAATAAATTTGATCTGAAAAAAAAGTTTAAAATATATAAATTAGCTGTCATATAACAAGTCTATTATTATAAACCAGAGTACAGAATAACGTATGAACTGTCTTATTAGACTAAAAGTTGAGTTGACCTACTAAAAATTTGGAAGTATTTTTTCCCGTACAAAAATTTAAACATTGCCCAAAACAAAAATCTGGAAAATCTGTTTTACAACTTTGAAATTTCCAAACTAATTTTGATGGAGTTTGGTGGGTTTGTTTCATTCCATTATCTGACTTTTTTTTTTAAACATATTTTGGCATAATTCAATAATCAACAAGATAACATATGTGTTTTGATACCATTCTGTCAACAAATCYCAACAAGAAAAAAAGAAATGTTTTCCTTGAAATAATTTCTTTTTGCAATCAGCCTTTTTTCCTGGCAGAAAGCTGCCCATTAGATTTTTTTTTACTCATTCTAAGAATGGAAAATTTAGCCTACTAATTTAGCTTGCTGTTTTCACCATGCTAGTGAAAAGAGCAAACCTAAGGTACTTGGTCGCACTTAGTGGACAATCCAGAAAAAAGCTGCAGAAAAGAGGAAATTAATTCTTAATCCCATTAGTTAATAAATGGTTTATTCCCAGCTGTATCATTGTATGTTCTCTCTTTTACAGTACTTAATTGATTTTATATAATTGTATGCTATCACGTTCTTACGTTTTCAGCGTGCATTCTTCCCTGTGGGTATACAAAGCAGCAAACTATGACCAAAGTCGGGAGAGTCATTAAAATAGAAAAAAGATCAGTGTAATTGGTGTAATTATTGGTAAGGAATTTGAGCCTGAGCTGCTGCCCTTTGAAGTGACTGCTTTGGCTGCACCGGGTAGCCTCAGGAAAGGATTCGGATAGGGTCCGTGGCGTGAAGAGGGCCCGTGGAATGAAGAGATGTCCATAAAACCAGGAAATCAACATTTCATCAAAATACCCTCCTAGCATTGACAGAAGAGTTCGCCACCGCCTCTAAAATGGATTATGTGGTTAAGTGTCGGGAGAATATAGGAGCTACGAAATGTCTTGAGCATATCGTGCTCCAATACATAAAATAGTTTTATTTAAAGGGTAATAAAAGAATAAAAGCTAGAGAATGAGCACAGTCTGTGGGCAGAACTAGAGAACAGGCAAAAGAAGATTGCAGGGTTAAATCGTGTAGCTTGAAACAACGTGCGTTGAGAGGCTTCTGTAGCAGCAGTTGTCATTATGAGCTCTAGCATTTACGTGAGATTTAGTCCCCATATTTTTGAAATTTACTTTTTTTTTTTTTTTTTTGGAAGGAGAGAGCAGACTTGAGACCAGAAACACACGGCAAACTATTAATATTAGCAACTGTCTCCCTGCAACGTCAGAGAGAACAATTATAATTGCACTCAAATCATGAATCCTTGGCATTTGTACTGATGGCAGCAGATACATAAGCTAGTAAAGGTAACAACAGTTAAATGGCAGGGTTATTAATCTGTTTGTACATTGGTTGGTATCATGGACAGTATTTATACATATTCAGTCATATGTTAAATGTATGTTAAATGGGTTTCATAATTTGCTTTCCTTATAAGGAAATTATAAGCTATAGTTCACATCTTAAAAGGAAGTTATTCTAAAAATACTGCCTTTCTGATATGYTCACCAACTCTATGTGTTTTAGTTAAGAGTATGTGAAACAATATATACTGTTTTTGTGCAAACTATGGCTGTTTGAAGTGCGTTAACCTGTTATTTGTTGGTTTTAAGTTGTTATTTTTGTCTTATTTACCTCCAAAGCCAACCATAATCAATATGAAAAGGGCACTCTTAACACTTATCCATAACATTTATTTTCATAGAAAAAAATACTTTGCATAAAAAAAAAAAAAGATGCAGCTTCAAGGTAACAGCAAGACATCAATTTTCTGTGTTAGAAATTAACATAATGTTTTACATAATGAACCTCTTTGCTGATCATTAAAATAACATAGTTACCTCGGCAACTGGAACATTTTGCAAATGTTATGTAGTGATGCATAGCATATTCTAAAAATATATGCAACAATATAAGGTATGAAACATCATTGTTTAGGGAATTTTTAGTTTGTTTTTTTATTATTAAAATACCTTCTTATTGAAGTAGAATTTAAGAGAAACTTTCAGTTTCATCCAAATTTCTGTTTTTAATCAAAACTAATTTTATTTGCTCAAATCCCAAAGACCTTATATTGTTTCACTCCAGACAACAGAAAACCGTAGTTGGTTTTCAATTGCCACTTGATTTTTTCTTTAAGTGTTTCCCTGGAAAATGTTTAAGAAATAAAATATATTTCTAAACAAAGGTTAATGACGGCACGCTTAGAAACCTTCTTGAAAATGAGGCACACCAAATATGTGACTAATGAATTAGATCTAGAGAGTTCACCGCTGTAAACCTGAATGTACCTGTTACCATTACAGCCCTCTYGTCCTCTTCGTGTTGGTACCCGTGTGAGCCTAACCGAGATAACTGAGATGTAATGTAACTGAAATGAACAGTCATTGACATTCTTGGCCTTTTTTCCCTTTTTCAAGAAAAACTCATTTAAACGTGTTCACAGTTCATTTTGGCTGCCTTAAAGCTAATTTCTCTGTGTAAATGATTTACTGAGTTTTCTCTCCCAGGATCTAGTTACCAACACAGCATTTCGTGACAGAGAAAGACAGTTCCCAGCTAGGTAAGTTGGTTCATATCCTACAAACACTTTCTYCTTCTTCCTGGATAATAAAGCAGGTACAACTTCAACAGAGCCTTCCATCTGCCTTTGCCACTTGGCTGTCCCRCTTTTCCTTGGGACTGTACTAAGAAACATTCCCCAGAATTGGCCACAGGTTTCATCYCAGCAGTTTTAAAACAACTCCTTAGAACTCAGCCTAATTTTAAATGACAAAAGCAAATTAATACAAGTGTGATTTCCTTTTGAAGTTACTTTTWAAATTTTACTGGATTTTACAATTTTGGCATTTATTGCTATGTGAGATATCAAACACATCTGTCTCACTCATCTTTCTTAAAGATGCATCTTTGTTCAGGATCCCATCCCCACTCAAGGTTTCCAAAGTGAATCCCATCCTACTTTTCCCGTGCATTTGAAAGCTGCTGATGAAGATTTAATTTCAGTGCAAAAGTAACCAAAGACTGCTAAGAAAATGGTAAGTTAATGTCCTTGAGCATTTTCCCCATCTTTTATTTAAACACTTCTCCTTTTGCTGCTGAAAAACTGGTGGTAAGTTAGCTTAGGAAGGAGGCTGCAAGGTGGTCATTTGCGCCCCTCATTTGGAGAATTGATGGAGCAGGATTTAGGTGAGTTGCAAAACCTGCCTGCCCTACAACACAGAGCATATTGCCTTTGCT